GGGTTTTTTGCTTAACTTAAGGTTAATCTTTTTAATTTCCTTCTATCTGTTAAGGGAAGTTTTATAGTAGACTTATTTTGTTGTCTTAACAATTGCACTCCTTTTCGATTTTCCACATCTTGTCTTCCTCTTAATTCTGCTGTAAAACGCTAGCTAAAATTTGTACACTTTTTCACTCCAAATTAAAAGTAACCAATCATCCGATGGACTCCATTACAATACATACTTCCTTCGCTTACGCTCGGGAAGTAAAAATTGATGCCTTCATATCAGAATTTGGTTAAGTCAGTCACTTAAAATTGATAGCGTGACGAGCACCTTTACCTGTATCTTAATAATAATCTATCAAAATATATGCTCTGATAAGAAACCTTGTGTGTGCTTTGGTTAATACATTCTTGTGTTTCAAAATTGCTTATATAGGGTGTTTCGAAACAACAAAAAAAGAGCTTTATTGGGCAAATTCTAACAAGACAATAAGTTCTTTGTCATTATGAAATTGTGTAGCTGTCTGTACATCAACTATACGTTATACCAAATTTATAGATCAAATCTTATATTCTTAAATACGATTTTAGGTATATTGCTGACCAACCATGCCCTAAAATGGATTTGAAGGAATCATGTTCTGACTGAATTTGTAAACCCACAATGAAATTGTTTTGAGAAGTGAAGAGAAAATGTTAAAACACATAAAACAGTAGAACATATTGCATCACAATGCATTCTCTAAATAGGTTTTACGAAAAAATGTCTTAAATATAATATACATATAGTCCTATGTACATATATCTAAGAAAATAAATAATCAGCAACAAACCGAATACATGCATTTTGGAAGAAACAAAAATTCGGTGTAAATCATTGTACAGATTGTTGCTTCCTGAGCGTAAGTAATCGAGTCCATCGGGCGACTTGCCAGTTTCATGTTTTCTCGATGTGTCATGACCCCTAGAGCACGAAAAAAGTGGTCTCTGTCTGTCTGTCCATCTGTGTCAGAAATCTCCGAACTACCGGACCGATTGTTGTCAAATGTATGTATATTAGGACCATCATGTTGATGATAGAACGGTAACCAAAATTTGGCTAATCCAACCATTTGATGACATCATCTCCAAAATGTATAATAGTAAATTTGTTTATAGTTTTATAAAATAAGATACTTCTGCACTTGTGGTGTATGAATCCGTTGAGTTTTCACCAAAGACATCTAACTTTTTGGGGGAAAAAATAAAAATTGTATCACATTTTGCAATATCACTGAAAGTTAAACTGCAGCACAGAATCCTCTGAAATCTTGCAAAAGACGGTTATCGTAATCATGGTAAATCGTTAATCAAAATTTATTCCTTTATCCCCTCCCAAAAAATTGATGACATCATCTAAAAATTTTGCCGAATAAATCCTCTCTGGAATATGCAAAATATTATGACTCTATACTGCACAATAATTTTTAGAATTATTTATACGAGGTGATTCAAAAAAATTAATGAATTAGGCAATTTATTCTACTGATTTAATCGAGAACGATTCACTCCACTTTCCGGAAAATACGGTATACTACATCTATCCAAGCTGTTATAGGATGTGTTCTTGCAAAAATGTTGATGACAGCTTTATTTTAACATTACGTATATATCTTTAATTTTGACTTATGAGGTTTACCATAAAAAATTAAATTTGTAAAATCAAATCTTATAATTTTTCGAAAAATCTGAATTTATTGTACTTCAAGGATGAAGGAAATTCTCTCGAAATAACCTTCGACCAATTTTTTAGGAGTGTTTGCGTAGAGAGCTTTGATTCTTGTTCAGCTATTGGATATTTTCGATGTGAAACGGACAAACTAAAATTAGTTTTATTTTAATTTGTTATTTCCTCCCAGGGGCGAAGAAGGTGAAAGCGTAATCAAACGCTGATATTAAAGTTTTATTTTTCATTTTATTTACAAACGTCAATTTTATACAAATAACTTCTTAAAATGCTATTAATGTGAACGTCAGTTTCCTACAATTAATTGAATTCTAAAAATAAATCTGTTTTAGTACAGAGTACGGATTTTGCCAACTTTCCAGTGCAAATTATCATTTTCGTTCAGGGATAGGTAACTATATATAGGTAAATCACAGTACAAATTAGCGTTCAAAGGTATTATTAACATGTTCTTCGGTGACAGAATTTTATAAACAAACATTTTTATAGGTATGTTAATTATTACATTTAATAATTTTATGTGAAACAGTGTGCTCACTCGTTACTCAAGCCTAGCCATGTTCAGTATTTTTGCAAAAGTAAGTTTGATATACATATATCTGCATCAACCTAAAGTCGTTGACAATAGTAAAAAAAAAATAACGTGTAGGCAACTCGTGCTAAAGGAAATGTCCTATTATTAGGTTTCTTTTTATAATATTTACTCAAACGGGTTTTACTGTATTTAGAGCGTCACTTTAATATGTATTTGTCACCTGCGTCAAATATTTATTTATTATTATAAATATGTATTGACTAATATTTTTTAGTTCAAATGCCGATACGTTTGCGGAAAGGAAATATAACAAAGATATATGTAGTATAATGCACGTTTTTATTGTCAAGCTCAATAAAAATCTGAGCTTAAGAAACTTTTGTTAGTTAGATATACAAGATATACTTACAAGTAATGAAATTTATTTTTTATGCATCCTGGTTCTCTTGTAATATGTTACTTACATAACTAAATTAAGTGAAACATACTAAAATTATTATGCAAAAACTATAAACTGATGTTTTAAATTTATGGTGTATATAACCTGATTTTATACCTCTCTAAACGATTGGAAGCTATATTTAAAGTGCGGAAGCAATACTATTTTAGTTTACAAACTCTATGATGCGTGAAGTTACTCTTCTTTGCTCTTGTCAACAGTTAGTCTGTACCTACGATAATTGCTATTTAGTTGAACTGTCTAACCCAAATTAAAAAACAATAATAGTAACTCTGCCAAGGTGTGGGTTTTGGGTTTTAAACGTTGGCTATGCGTACTTTATTTTTCCTATCTCTTGCATCGTTTGAAATTGCTAACTTTGTTCTCGTATTTTTAGATTTTATATATAAAATTCATCAGCCTTGAACCCTTTACGTAAAAATCACATACAGGTATATTAATGCAAATTCGATAAAAAACTCTGTTCACATCTGTTTGCCAGAGTAAGAGACACAAGCTTTTGGCGAACGTTCCGACTAGACATGACGTTCAGTGGTGTAGGTGGTTAATGCAGCATTTTACCTTGAAGAAGCAGCCGAATTCACGACCCATTAATCTATTGTTATTTATGGATATTTATGTTTGTCTAAGCAAAACTGACAAAATATTTTCAAAATATTTGTATTTCGAAGATATTTTGTTCTCTACGTTTTGATACGCCACTGGCAAACAGCTGCAATAATTATTAATTGCCTGCTACTCAAGATTTGCGTTTGCAAACCCACTGGTCCTAAAATTAAATGTGCCAATTTTCTTTATGAAAATATCTTTTATTACCGCTGACTGAGTTATAAGTCGTATCTACTTTCACTTGAGAAATTAAACGCAGGGTGTAATTGTATTTTAACACAATTGTTTGATGACTGGTACGCAATTGCTACTTAATTTTATGTCTGTCATCTAAAATCGATTTAAGTATTAAGTATTTTCCACTAAAAACATAAAATTTTGTAAAGGTTAAGCAAGGTTATCTGTTGCTTTTACATGTTTACGAGTTCAGTTCTAACAATAAGAATCTATTTTATTCTAATTTTTGTATTTTGTGTTTGAACATAAAAAGCGGATGTTTTTACATTTCTTTAATATGAAAGAAACATAGGTGAAACTGAAATTAGTAGAAGCAAGTATTTACTGTAGCTACTCGTATGATGTGAATGTTCATATATTTTTTAATTAAACAGAACTATGACGGTATTAACGTTTACTGGTGTAATTTATTCGTATCACTTTTGTAGACAGACCATTAGTGATTAGTTTTTATATTTCACCTTATCAGTCTAACTACGAACCAATAATAATTTTATTTAGAATTTGAATGAATGTTATCAGAAAATATTACCCCTCGTTTTATTTATAGAAGAAAAATGATATATTGACTTTTATTTAGTTAGTTTAACATTTGACTTTTACCAGCGATGAATGTAGTCATTAAATGATAAAAATAATAAGATATTATATTTAATAGAGAAATATTTTCTCTATGCAGTTACTAATATTTATGGTTCAATCTGATTTGTAACATTCTACTTTCACAAACCGAGCTAATGTAACCGATAAATCATTGCAATTGCTGGATAAAACCTTTATAATCCAACTATAAACTGTAAAATAAAAGCTTCATAAAATATACAGTCCTCTATAATGGTATAAACGACAAGTTAGTACAAAATTACAGGGCTTATCCCAGATTTTGTACTCTCGGCAACTCCCCTATTAGTTGAAATATGTACTAACATGGGCGAAAATAACTGCAGACCGGATTAATAAATGTCCGATCTGGATTCTAGAAGATGCCTGGACTGGAGTTGAGGTCCGCTGACATGGAAAATAAATTTTACTACAAATATGCAAAATATATAGAGACAAATTATTGTTAATTTTTTTAATAAAATGCCCAGTTGTATATTTTTTGAAGATAAAAAGTAAAAAAAAATTCTCTACACAGAAGATAAAATAATGTTTACCATGTTCTATTCTTTCTAAAATAGCGTTAGTTTCGCACTAGATAATATACTTTTATTTAAATAAATATTTATATTGATATTTAACTATTTTGGGTCGTTCACCTTACTATTTTATTAATCTTTATTTATTTATTTTTTTCATTGAGGAAGAGGAGAGTTAAACATCCATAACCTTGCATGTACTCGACCTCATGTTATGAAACACCCTAGATGTAAAAGTTTTTTGAACAAGGGTTTTTTACCTCCATTTCATGTTCTAACAGTTTAAATCAATTGAATACTTTTGCAGGAACTGGAACTTTTGGTCGTGTTCTGCTATGCCGAAATAAATCCACAGATGACTATGCTGCCATGAAGATATTATGTTTGTCAGACGTCATACGACTGAAACAGGTCGAGCACGTGAAAAATGAAAAAAATATCCTACAAGAAATCAGACATCCTTTCATCGTGAACATGTAAGTAATCGATTTATCTAGAAATGATCGACAGGTGGTCCAAACTGAACGACCACAGTGTGCAATCAACTAAATATTGGCAAGTTTTCTGAAAACAACGTCTCCGCATGTTATGTTTACAAAATATTTATTTTGGTTTACTTTATTTTCGTTCGGTTAAACAAACCGTTGATGTAATTTTGACCAGAGGAAATTAAATATATTAATATGAAAATAATTACTTACTGAGAAACTTGAATGAATTGTAGGCATGCAACTTTCTTCCTTCTTTAAGTTCTTTGATCTGAAGGATCGAAAGTTCTCGTTTATATCCGACCCTCGGGCAAGATGAAAGTGATGCACTAGTTTGCACCAACACTTCGTGAAACGTAAATATCTAACAGTCGTAACACCTACAATTTGATAGATAATTTATTCACAGGAGAAGTGTACAGTTGTTGATGCGTAACTTTAATTGACTTACGCAATCACATTAAAATTATAAGCTACTATAATCATTCCAACAGTTCCTGAAATACTCCGAGAAAAAATAATTCCGGCTTAGACATGTGTGACCACATTCATTGATACGAACTTGTTGTTCATTTTAGTTTTTTAAGCTGCTTACCGTCGTCTTGTTTACAAAGCATTAACGCAAAATGAAATATAGTGTGTTCCCTTACTGCGGAGATGGGTTATTTTGTAAAGTCTTTAGAGTTTTAATTAATAATAATACAATTATTTGTGGATTCTTTGTGATTCCCGGTTGTACTAAGTTTAGATTTTTGTTGCTATGACTAAATTCCGGTGTTCATACAATCACTTGAATTATTTTTACCAATTTTGGATATCTTTATTTATTTTGAAAGGGATGTACGGGTTTTGTGGTGACAAGTGCATCTATAGAGCAAATTCTTAGGGATGGTTTTAAGTTTGTAATTCCATTTGTCTAGATTTAAGTTTAATTCCCCTAGAAACATGTTTCTTGTCAATTCTGATTCTGTATTTTCTCACACTTACTTCAGTTATTATAAGTGTTCAAAATAGTTTAATTTAAAACCTAAATGAACATAAGAAAATTTGTGAATATGTACAAATATCACCTGCTGCTATCTTTTACTATGTTAAATTCTAACTTATTATATTATTATTGCATATATGCTGGCTGTTTTGTAGAGATACAGATTATGTTTTGTCTCTGAGTTGACATGAGACTTTGGGCACGTGTGTATAAAATAAAATTAGGGGACAGTTGTAAAGAAGTTGGCGTCGTACCAGATTGCTACACTGGAGGTCGCTGGTTCGATTCCCAGCCAAGACGAAAAACCTTGACTCTGGGTGTTTGTATCCGTCTTCAGTGTTTGTGACTCTATGGAGTTAAAGTCAATTCAGTGAATATATTCCCTTTGCAACACATTGCCTAATACAAGTGTTTTGTTCACTTTTATGTCGTCAGTGATTACAAATTTTGCAAAAAGTTGACACTGACAAAACTTGATATTTTGAATTAATTAAAATTTGTTACAGATAATCTTCAGTTTGACATTTTTCCCATTTTATAACTGCCTTAAAATTATTTTTACCATCTAAATCTTACAGTTCTTCAATTTATTTTTCAATTGTTCAATCGACGAATTTTTATGAATTGTTATGATATTGGGTACAAATAGATATAATAATGAATCAGTAATAGTTGTAATTTTGTTAACAGCAAATAGGTGTGCAAAAACTATGTTTTTAGGTCTTTATTATTCGTTTTGTGTTTACACCATACACATAATTATAATATTGTGCAATAATAAAGTTTATCTTTATTAATTACGTATACGTGTATTAATTCTAATGCAATCAGTTTTAACATATTTCACTAAAATTATGTATTTAGATGCGGCATTAGTGGTTAAGTAGTTTAAAATTTCTGATAGCCTAAATATGAAATTAACTTTCATTTTAGCAGATAAAGCAAATCAACTCAACATGAAACTGATAACCTTGTACCACATGTCTACTTGAGTGTTATCAATTTGATGAATTTATTTTCCAGGTTATGGTGCAGTAAAGACGATGCCTGCATTTACATGCTCTTTGAATACGTCTGCGGAGGAGAACTTTTTTCATACTTACGAAATGCCGGACGTTTCAGTGCCACAACAGGCAATTTCTACACTGCCGAAATAGTTTCAGCACTCGAATATTTGCACTCTAAAAACATAGTTTATAGGGACTTGAAACCTGAAAACTTGTTATTGGATAAAGAGGGACACTTAAAGATTACAGATTTTGGGTTTGCAAAGAAACTGACTGACAGGACGTGGACGTTATGCGGGACGCCAGAATACTTGGCACCTGAAATCATACAAAGTAAAGGACACAATAAAGCCGTAGATTGGTGGGCTTTAGGTGGGTATTGGTTACGTCATCGTATAATATTAGGCAGTATAATCTGAATTAAATAAATACATGTAGAGGTGATATATCTTAGTCAGGTATAAACGTTTTCCTTAACGTACATTCCCTCCATGGGAAGTTAAACTGTAATAATTTGCTTACTGTTGTTTGTTAATGACGTTTTACAAAATTTTAAACTAAATTAGAGTTGCCAGTCTTGTGTCTTAAGTAGGTAGGTACTTACTCACATATTTCGTACCTATTTTAAATTTTTATTTAATTTATTGAATTAATAGTTATAAACTGCACACTTTTAAGGACATTTGGTTCACTCCTATAAGTAGCCGGGAAAAGGTGAATTTTATTTTGCATTTTCGAGTAGATATTTTTTAAATTTTTTATGAACAGTGAAGTTTTTACATTACAATTTCATAAAATAAACAATATTCGAAAGAAGTCTGAGTAATAACTATATAATTCTTCACGTTTTTGTCAATAAGACCCCTCTTTAAAAAAAAATAATAATATTAAGAAACGTATGTGCTTCAAAAGATGACAGTTCTAAAATGGTTGCTTACGATGCTAAAATATAGCCTCTAAAGCTTCCCACAACAAAAATACGCTTTAATCAATCGTTATTTTACACTATTGTCGTGAAGACGAAAAAAAAACAAAGTTAATTTTCTCTAAACTTGTGGCATATATTTTTTACATGATTTCAAAATAGATACGAAACATGACTCTCAAGTGTTTATTGTCAACAATTAAGATAAATATCGTGTACCTACGTAAAAAATTATCGAAACTATGAGTACCAACAAGTAAAATTTTACATAATGCAAAATTTTCAATATGACAACAACGTAAACATTTTTGTCTTGATTAATCATAATTATAATTAATTACGTATAAATTCAAATCTGATTTTTAGTACCTAGATACTTGGGGTATCAACAGGTCACAATTATTGTAATTTTTTAAGTACTTCATAAAACAAGGTAATTCATCAAAAAAATCACGTTAATACTTATCTTATCATTGTCTAAAATAAATCTTTATAATTAGATAAATGAAAGGTGAACGACTTTATTTTTGATGAATTATTTTTTTCTTAAATCTACTCCCATTTTTTTTCTTTACACTAAAACTTAGTACGTGGCATCCTAGCATAGTAGGATTACATGAATACATAATAGCATAATTAAACAAATACCGGTATTCTATTAAGTACTGATAATTTTTGTTCTGTTGACTTATCTTGACAGTTCATCAGCAACGTTATTATTTAGAAAAGAGAACTTTTACTTAGTACCTTCCTATTTGAGATAAAAAAATAAAAGTAGTTGATAACTTTTTAATTAAGGGAAGATGATACAGTCTATTAAACATTCTGAAAAACTTTAGACAAATTTTACCGACAAAGGAAATTAATTGCACAAATTAGGCATCTTCATAGTACAATGTGCAAACCCTAAAAAATAATATTCTCATTCACAACATATGTTATAGTAGCAAATCGATCAAAAATTAAAAAGCACATATTTAAAGTTGCTATGCTACGACTGGTAGTTTTTAGCCATGACTCACTGCCCAAAATAGTTGAAATAATGGATTTTTTTCGAATATATTTCTTTAACGAGAATACACATATTTTATGAGTAATCATCCGTCAAACAGATTATTCATTGCAGCTAAATAGTATGATATATCAATAGTAGTTTTTGTTCCACTTCCATGTTTTTGTGTACTAATTCAATAACCTCATTTTGCAGGAGTTCTAATTTATGAAATGTTGGCTGGATATCCTCCATTTTATGACGATAATCCTTTCGGCATTTACGAAAAAATACTTAGTGGTAAAATAGAATGGCCAAAACATCTGGATCCGATAGCAAAAGATCTAATAAAAAAACTTTTAATACAAGATAGAACAAAACGATTAGGTAACATGAAGGTAAGTTTAAAATGTGGAAATATTGTGTTTAATACATTTAGCCCATTGTAGAGTGGCGCTGAAGATATTAAAAGACACAGGTGGTTTAAAGGCGTAGACTGGCATGATGTCCTGAAGCGAAAACTTATCGTAAGTGGCCACTATTGCGCTACAGAAAGTTAAAATTAATTTTATTACTTTTAGCCACCTATTGTTCCTAAAATTATGTATGATGGGGATGCTAGCAATTTTGATGACTATCCAGAAAATGACTGGAAATCTACCCGGACATTAGAAGATGCAGAATTAAAATTGTTTGAAGACTTCTGACAAATGAATTAATTTAAGTTTTCACTATTTGTTTTGAGTGATCATACAGACCTAGACTAGGCATTTCTAATGCTACAAGTTTTTACGATTGTGATATATTTACTGAAACGCTTTTTTATAAGTTTGTACATACTAGTTACTGTTAATTTGCTACCAATTCACTAATATCGGATGTCATGCAAAAACCCGAGCGATCAAACGTAGATAATTTTAAACTGATACCTGTTGATAATAAAGTTTTATCTACAGTCTAAATTGTTCTTACTTATCAACCAGTGCACAGTGTAGTTTCTGTTATACAAACGAACACAATAATGCCTATACGAGAGTTGTCCAAAGAGCTGCAAGAAGTTGCAGTTAATGAATTAAATGAAGATCCGAAAAGAATTCCAAATGATTTGGCTTACATTAGGGAATGGCTTTCTAAACAGCCTCATCTTAAAGCTAGAACAGGTAAACAACTTGAATAATTGCATGTCGATCAAAAACAATGCCGTACCTGTTGTAGATGATCAATTTTTAATTGCCTTTTTGCGGGGTACCAAATTTAGCTTAGAACGAACAAAAGAAAAATTGGATATGCATTATACTTTAAAAACAATTACACCTGAACTATACGCCAAGAGAGATCCTTTTGCACCGGAAGTGCAAAAAATTTTAAAACTGGGGTAACTTTCCAACTTTCTGCTTAAAAACAAATAATATTTTTTTGTTGGCCCATTTAGAGTCATGCTTCCACTACCAAAATTAATTAGCCCTGGTGGTCCTCGGCTTTCACTTATCAGAAATGGTCTTATGGAAAAACATAAAATCGATCAAGCAGAACTTTTCAAAGTTAGTACAATGATGCAAGATATTTTGCTTCTTGAAGATGATAATCTGGCTGTTTCTGGAGTTATGGCCGTTCAAGATATGTCTGATATGTCTATGGCTTTTGTGAAGTCTTTGTCTATTTCAGTAACTAAGAAAGCGATGACTTGTTTTCAACATGGTTATCCCCACAGAATCAAAGGCGGGCACTTCTTTAACATAACTGGGGTATTTGACATAATATACAACTTGTTTAAACCATTTTTAACAGAAAAGTTGAAAAGAAGGGTAAGATATTTTTGTGTACACAATAAAAAAAAGGACGTTTTCCTAATTTTCAGATGCGTGTTTATGACTCACTGGACGAATTGTATAAGGTAATTCCAAAAGAAATACTACCTGAAGAATATGGTGGACAAGGTGGTAAAATTGAGGACATTGCAGCTCACTGGAAAGCTAAGGTAGAAAGTTATCGAGATTGGTTTATAGAAGATGAAAAATACAGAACAGATGAAAATAAACGACCTGGAAAACCAAAAACGGCTGAATCTGTGTTTGGTTTAGAAGGATCTTTCAGGCAGCTAGCAGTCGACTAGTAGAGACAAAAATGTTTTTTATCTTATTATCAGAGCACGGCAGAAAATATACCTTTGCAGCAACGTGCTGCAAAGCAGTAAGCTGTGTTTTTGACAGCGTAGTTTCGATTGTTTCGATGCATATACTGATTTTCTTTGCAGTGTCGTACAAAGCCAATTTGTAGTGCTCCCAACATTCGATGTTTCGTAATTATTATTTTTGTAATTTTAAACAGAGTCACATATACGTGCTAGGCTATCGCTTCAATAGTGATCGACATCTTGCGGAAACAATGCAACGTATTTACGATTGCCCGAGGTGTATTTTTTGTCGCACTTTGTATATAGGTAAAGTAAACCTAAATATTTTAAATAAAATACTTCTTTAATAATTCTCCCTTACGACACTGTCATAACTATATTCTTTATGTTTCTTTCTTAAATTCATTTTATGTAGTTGAATGAGAATTATAAAGTATATAATGTGCAAACAAAGTAGTGAACCAAGTGTTGTCATGAGATTATAGGTAAGTAAATCTCAAATAGCAGAATCCATGTATAATCTATATTTGTTTTGTTTTTTTTCAAATTATTTTAAAAAGCACCACCTCCACCAAACTTTCGTTCAGTTAATATGTTCTGAAAGAATATAGTGTTTTATTTTTAAATGATGGTTTAAATTCTGTTCACGTTAGATATTCTAATCCATTCTCTCTCTATCTCTTTAAGGAGAATAGGAGAAAAGAATGGTAATGTATGAAAAAAGTATATTTATTTTCTTGCATTCACGACCATTCTTGATGAATTTGGCGCACTAACCATGGTGGGGGATGTCGAATTTCCCGCATGCGTGCTTTTCACTTTCCGTTGCCATGCTAACCTTATTAAAGTAGCTGGAATCATCAACGTTGTGACATGTTTACAGTGCTGTTAACCTCGTTGTTTATAAATAAGTCACGATTAATCTTTTTTTTTAATATATTCGTTGCAAAAAATATTGTCATGCCTGCTTTCCGTATCCCCATAAATGCTCCTTTCGGTCGTGCCGCAAGCAAGCGTTCATGCGGGAAGCAGGTTTTGCCGAACTAGGTGTGTATATTACTACCAATTAATTACCCTAGTTTTTACAGCTCGGATTTCCAGTGCTATTGATGTACTAAATTGTTGCTTAAATATACCTACTTATAGGTGTGGTCTCTTATCATTATCTATGAGAAAAATGATAAAAAATGAGATTTATTCGCGAAAACATACAAATCTACCGTTAAATATGAATTTACCGTGATTCTATAAGTACAGCATGTACCTACGCATACAGTTTTATCGGAACTACTGTCAAATTATACAAATATAGTATTATCTATAAATTAATCAGACAATTGTCCCACGTGTAAAAATATATTGCAGACTGATAATATTTATTGCAATTATAAAAATATTGACAATGCTGCGACATCTATGATATTGGAAATTAAAGCAAAATCTTGAAGTGTGCAACTTTTTATAAAAACACAACTTCTTTTCAATTTCTGTATCAGTCATAATGGATTTATAATTTTAAGCCCGCATATTCCAAATAGTAAATAATATAGTTCGATAATGTAATATTACCATGCTTTTTTTGTACAAAACAAGCATGTATGACACAATAATTGTTGGTGTCCTGATTTTAAAAATTAATGTTCATATTTGAAAATAAAAAAAATCATCATTCAATAACGTCGGCAACCACTCATGTATGTTTAGAGTGTCAGAGATATTGGCACAAGGCAACCCTTTAAGTTGGTAGCTCTAAAGAATTTGTAAGATAGGGCAGGTAGTTTTTAAATGAGGCTCTACGCCACTTTACCGTATTAGTGAAAACCACGTACTTGTGAGTAAGTATGCTAAGTTTTGTGTATAATTTCACAAAAGGACAATTGTTTAAACAGAAGTACATCGTATTTGATGCCACTATCCCCCTCGACGAGTGTATCTAGTGGAAACCCAGTTAATTAGCGATTTTCTAGTCTGAAATGTTGTGAAACTTTGGCGACTTCATCAACACGTGTTATTTTGTTTTCTTGTTTCTAAATTCAAAGGTGGTTTTACGAGAGATCTTTAACTGTTCATGTAGTCTAAGAGCTAGCGACCAATTTACTTTATATATTTCCGTACTCATAAAAATTAGTGGAGGAAATCTTGTATACCTACAGAATAAGGAACGCCCATTCTGACAACTTAGGGCCGGTTTATCAATGCGCAGTTAAGTTAAAGTAACTGGCAGTTAAAGCTTGTCTGTGAGTTAACCTGTTTATCATTACCCGCTAGCTCAAAACTGGTAGTCAAAGTGCCTGATAAATTAACTGACAGTTCAAACTGTCAGTTAAAACGTTATCCACCAGTTAGTGGCAACATAACCTAACAAATCCAAATAAATCTGTTATGAATTTAACAATATTTTGATGAGGACTTATGTTGTGCAACAAATTGACAGAGAAAAGATGAGAAAAACACTTATTATTAGCTGATTATTTTCCAGGTCTATTGTAGGTACCAAAAATTAAAAACCTATCTAATAATACCGCGAGATCGAAAAAGAAATTAATCGAAGTAGGCCATGCACGACAAGCCGTTTGTCGTAATCACGGTGGTAGGGTAATTTAATTTTTTTTATTAAATGTCAAATTGACAGTTTAAAATTAAAATTATGACGCCTACTTTTAAAACACATAAGAATGAATTAAAATCACCGTTTTCCAATTTTGTCTAAAATTTATCCCATTTCTGAAGATTCTAATAGCAAAAAAGCTTTAATTTCGTTTGATAACAGTGCAAATTACTTTTGTCAACGTGACGATTAATAAAAAATTATTTTAAACTAAGACAAACGCCTTTTCGTGCATGGCCAACTTTGACTAATTTCTTTTTCGATCTCTCTGTATTTATTTATAGGTGTACCTGCTTGTTTCATTTATAATTTTCAATACTTTTTTTCTAATGCTAAATTTTGCTTTTTCATGATTGATCACGTGAAACGCGATATACAATCGTTGAATACCGAATGCGGATCGAATCTGATGGAACTTTCAAGGTCGGGGTAGTTTTGAACTGACCAATCACAACTCATTTCCAGTGGGGTGAGCGTTACCAACTTAAGAGAGTAACAGCTAAACTTCGAGCTACTACACTGGAAGAAACATCGTGCATTGATAAACACTTTACCTCCGTTAACTGCTAGTTACCCTTATCTGACAGTTACTTAACAGACACTTTTAACCGGCCGGAATACCTAAGCAACCTCAAAATTACAAAAAAAATTTGCGCCTCTAGCGTGGCTTTGATAATGGAATTTTATTCTAATATTTAGACGTATCAGACCAATTTACTTTTAATTATATTTGAATTTCAGCACTACTGAAATAACACAAATATCAAAAAAATATATACAGCTTTTTGTTATTCAGTTAACGATTTGATATTCTGACAATATTTTCATAGTTCATATATACTGCAAATTTTTTTTATCCATTTTATGAATTAGGGGTTGCTTTTGCCAGCCGGTGTCAGTTGCCAGAATGGGCGGCATTTCTAACGTACGGAAATAGACAAAGTAAATCGGTCGCTAGCTCTTAAACTATTTAGCTACAATAATGGAAATGTTCCTGTAAAACACGTGGCAGGAAATTCACCTGTTCAGGCTCAAATTATTTTAGTAATATCTAAAGGCTGGGATCTTTTTACTTAAATTAATATTAGATTATTCATACTTCATAATTTCTCACTCGAGATTTAAAATAATTTATTCATAGCATTTAAACTCATCTTTAATAATTTTCGTACAGCTTGAATTTGAACATTTATTCTCTAATTAGCATTTTGATTTTGACCGTATTTAATTTGTGTCCATTGTGTTCATTTTCGTACAGCTTCAATTTGAACATTTATTCTCTAATTAGGATTTTGATTTTGAGCGTATTTAATTTGTGTCAGTTGTGTTCATTTCATAACTGCTTTGTTTTATGTGATATGGGGATTCTTCAGCGATGTAATTAATATTGATATACTCATTCTGATTTAGCCATTAACTTGAATTAATGCATAATTTAATATCAAAAATATTATTGTTGTTTAAAGATCGTGCTACAGCAATTGGCGTGATCGAAATTTGTATGCGTTGCACTTCTAGTAATTCATTTAATCCTCATTAGAATTGAGTAGTACAAATTTTAGATTAATGCGGTCACCTGTATAAAGGGATACCGTAGACAGTCTTCTGATCTCTTCCCAACTTAACACGTATCAGACCTATTTTAATCAACAATAACTGAATCAACGAGTTGAAGTTCATAGGTCAGTTGCAAAAATGGGCACAATTTCACGTTACACCAAATTATTGGCATTAACTTAAGTAGGTAATCTGAATGTAAAAAGTTCTTGTGAGGAAGCAGAACATACAGAGAAAATGTATGTCAGAAAATAAATTATTATTAAAACTCTAAGCGCATTTTTGTTTTTATGTTTGAGTGTTGTTAACATTACAAAATAAAATGTTTTATATGTATATTTAACAAAAATGATGCAGTGATCCAGCATTCCGCCAAAATTAAAACACACACTGAAATTACAAAATTACCGAAAATTAAAAATTTGGCTGTTAAGTGTGGTCACAAATAGTATGGAGAACTAACGGTGTGTTTAAAAATGACTTTATGATAGGATGACCTGCACTTCAAATTAAAATACAAAAATATATATCTACAATAGAAATCGATTGTTCGGAACAAACAAAAGTTAAATTCGTGGCATATAGGTGGTATACATTCTCGCAAAACAGATACGAGACACTATACCGGGTGTCTGGAAAATGGCGGATTAACTCTCCGCTACGCTCTTAACAATCAACTGGTGAGTCTGGGAAAAATAGTAAAAAAAATCCTTCGCACATTTTGGTGAAGTTATAATGATTTTAAAATTGGTTCTTTTGCTACGTTTAACAACTAAACAACTCATTCATTATCATTATCAGAATAACTAGTAGTAAAACTTTTAGTTAATATTTTTCTCGCCCATGACCATGTTTAATTACCATTTCAGTTAGAATGCACAAAGATATGGCTGTGTTGTTTTTGTAAAAATTTGATAAAATTCCATTTGACCACAATGTTTGCCTGATATAAAGCGAAGGTGGATTTCAGTTACCGTCGTTACTAAGAAACCAGAAAGTAAGCCGGAGGTATTCACGCATTAGGTGTGTACAATGTTGCCAATTTTACTTTTATAAAATCAAGTTTTTTTCGTAATCTACATTATAAAGAATTTTTTTATTATTTTTTTGGACTCCCCAAACCCCCGTATGTAGGGTACGGAAGAGTTAATCAGCCATTTTCCAGACAGCCGGTATATCTAAATTGTTTTATTATTAAGAATTAATATTAGATAAAAATCATGAACGTAATAAAAATATCGAAATCATCAGTATACCTACTATAGCAAAAAACAAAACAGTCCATATGGAAAAGTTAAATATAAAATAAATATAAACAATGATATTCTTAACAAACGTTAAATATTTTTAAAATAAATCACAAATTATTTTGTCTAATGAATTATACTATTGCAGTTTTATGTGTAAATTCAAACTTAGATGTTTTAGTAGGCTTGGATTTTGAACAAGTTCTAATTATGAGTTTGTAATTAGTAGTTTCGTCATAAAAAATGATAAATGTTTTTTATTATCATTGTTTAAAATGGATTCTTTATAATTAAAAAAAAAACGAAAGTTGAACAATATTATTTTCGACAGACTATTTTTTACTTGAAGAATTTTTTTCGTAATTTCTGTTTAGACAGCATCATTAAAAAGATATCACAACTTTATGGAATGATGTTAAATTTTAACACGTCGATACGTTTTGATACGTCATATCATTTCATCAGGAACATTATTGTTTAAAAAGAGAAGTTTCACTTTATACCTTATTATTTGATAGAAAATAACCAATCACTAAATTGTTAATCGATGAAAGATGACAGAATTTATTGAAAATTTTGAAAGATTTTACACATTGTCCAAAGTAGATTAAACATTAGTAAATTAAACATCAACATAGTAACACGATCAAAGCTCCTAAAATGGTTTTCTCATTCATAGCATAAGTGACTGCAGCTATGACTCCCCACCTAAAATAGTTGAAATAATAGACGTTTTTCGTACATATTTTTTTAACCAGAATATACATATTTTACAAGTCATTATCCGTCAAATGGATTATTCATCAAAGCTAAGGAGATATAAAAAAAATACGTGGCATTAAAATAAAATTTCAAAAACATCTGGATCGGTTAGCCAAAGATCTAGTAAAAAAACTTTCAGTACACGATAGAATTAATAAACATGCAGGGATGTTTTAGATGAGGAAATGTAGTGTTTAATATACTTCTATTTACAGTTTGCATACTGAAGAACTCAAGGTAACTTCAGGTTCACATTCACAACTACCAATTATATTATAAATAGTTGACACTAATGTTATTATTTTAACAACCAAAAATTATGTATGAATGGGAATGCAAGTAACTTAAGGTATTAACAGATAATTAATCCAACTTTACCACTTTTGTTTCTAAAGCAACAATCTTTAGGAGTACCTACAATGTTTTACTTTTTGATAAGTTTGTACACACAAATCACTGTCAATTTGTTCCCAGTTCACTAATATTGGATGTCATGCGAAAACCAAACGTACGTAATTTTGAATTGATATCAGTTGATAAGTCTTATCTACAGTGTAAACTGTTCTTATTCATCAGCAAGTTTATAGTGTATTTTTCGATATACAAGAAACAATGTCTATACGAGAATTATCCAAAGAGCTGCAAGAAGTAGCAATTAAGGAATTAAATGAAGATCCGAAACGAATCCCAAGTGACTTGGCTTACATTAGAGAATGGATTTCTAAGCAACCACATCTTAAAGCTAGAACAGGTAGACAACCTCACTTATGTGTCAAACAAAAATATTATCACATCTCTTGCAGATGATCGGTTTTTAATAACCTTTTTACGGGGTACCAAATTCAGCTTAGAAAGAACAAAAGAAAAATTGGATATGCATTATACTTTAAAAACTATTACACCCGAAATATATCATAATCGTGATCCCTCTTCTCCACAAGTGCAAAAAATCTTAAAATTGGGGTAACTTTCAAAGTTTTTATTTAGCACAAATAGTATTTTTATCTTTTACTTAGAGTCATGCTTCCACTACCAAAATTAATAAGTCCTGGTGGTCCACGGCTTTTACTTATGAGAAATGGCCTTGTGGAAAAGCATAAAATCGAGCAAGCAGATCTTTTCAAAGTTAGTACAATGATGCAAGATATTTTGCTTCTTGAAGATGACAATTTGGCTGTTTCTGGAGCTATGGCTGTGCAAGATATGTCTGATATGTCTATAGCTTTTGTGAAGTCTTTGTCTATCTCATTAACTAAGAAAGCAATGACCTGTTTTCAACACGGTTATCCAAACAGAATCAAAGGAGGGCATTTCTTTAACATCAGTGGAGTATTTGACGTAATGTATAATCTGTTTAAACCATTTTTAACGGAAAAGTTGAAAAGAAGGGTAAGTTTTTTATGTTGACAGTAAATAAGGACGTCACCCCAATTTTTAGATGTGTGTTTATGAGTCACTGGAGGAATTATGTAAGGTAATTCCAAAGGAAGTATTACCAGAAGAATATGGTGGACAAGGTGGTAAAATTGAGCACATTGCAGCTCACTGGAAATCTAAGATAGAAAGTTATCGAGATTGGTTTATAGAAGATGAAAAATACAGAACAGATGAAAATAAACGACCTGGAAAACCGAGAACATCCGAATCTGTGTTTGGCTTAGAAGGATCTTTCAGGCAGCTCGCAGTTGATTAGTATAGATAAAACATTTCTTATCTTATCACTATACTTGGGTAAATAAAGATAAATATTTGAAACAATATGCTTCCTTAAGCCTACCTACAAAATCGTCATAATGATGTTTGTTATTTTCTTCTATTTATTAAAATCATTTGATGTAGTTGAGTGGTAAATAACTAATAAAGTTTTTACTGTCTTAAATGTCCAAACAAAGTGATGAGCCGATGTCAAACTGCAAGGTTCTGTGTCGTCATGAAATCACAGGTAAATACATCTCAAATAGCAGGAATAATCCCTATTCGATATTTTTCAGAGAAACAGTACAAAGCGTTTAGAAAGGCACCACCTCCACCAAAATTTCGTTCTGTTAGTCATACCGTAGTAAACTTTGAAGGTGGTATGTACAAATTACATCGACTGTAATCTAAAATGCAGTTTCAAAAACTGTAGATATTTATTTTTAGGTGATGATTTACATTCCACTCGCGTCAGATACTCTGAGACAGAAAAATCAAAAATTGATAATAAATTAAGTAGAGAGAGTAGTAAGCAAAACTGGTAATATCTGAAGGAAATCTGTTTATTTTTATAACGGAGTTACGATTTTTCAGCTTAGAGTCAAACATATACAACCTTATCAATAAAGAAAAGCAATATATAAAAAAGTTAAATATTTTACTACAAAAATTAGAAGGTAACATGCTTCTATGATTAATTGTACCGTTCATATATAGATAATTGACTTTCAGTTGTTTGTACAATTGGTTCTAAAAAGTTATCACTCATGAAAGACATTTTGGATATGCATAATAAGATAATACTGATGAAAATGAATCGCATTTCTACCGCCATCGATGTTCCACACTTGTTTCTCAAATGTGTAAGTGTTTGTCTGTCGTCTCTATCAGTCAGAAAATTGTAAAGAATGTGGCAATATAATGTGCATAATGCATATTATATTACAAATGTTATCATTCTAGAACTCGCACGATCATTACGGGAAATTACCATTATTATCTCCAAAATAAATCAGAGTTTTTTGCATTGCATGCATTATCCTCGTATGAAAGCAAAAGTTCATTTTCTCGTACTGAGACGTGTTTAAATACAAACTTTGATGTTGTAGGGTACAAGATTATTGCAGTTGTATGTACATTTTACTAAAATTTGGAGTGATTTCTCTTATGTGGTTATGGATATTGTAATTTAAACTTTTGTAGAAAATATTTTTATATATACAACTTAAAATTTTTAGTGTGAAAGTATAATTGACCATTTTAAAGCAAGGCTACTCGAATACAATTTCACATTGTCCCAAATTAAGAATATTACCGTAAGCAACCCAGACGTAAGCAGATCTTGTGACGAAGCAGAGGATGCAGTGAAAAATGTGTATCAGAAAATTATTGTTGCAGCTAGAAATCAACTCGTAAATTAAGAACAATAAACAGTATGAAAGCCGTTTTTTATTTCAACTAATACATACTAATGTGACTAATAAAACATTATTACTTCTGGCTATATCCTGAAAATTCATAAGTGTGTAAATGTATTTTTGTTTTTATGTTTGACTACTGCTAAAATCGCGAAATACTCCAATCTGGGCAGGCAACAGAAGTGACTCAAAATTCCCCCAAAATTGGCAAAACTGTGGAGGGAACATCGTTTATTAAATTTTGTCCGGGTGACCGAAAAATGTAATTGCTATCTGTAAAATGGAAAAATTGCGTGAAATTTCTCTATCCACAAATTTATATCAAAAATTGTACAATTTACTGTGAAGCTAGTTTTAACTTCACGTTCCTACTCGTAACAATAATTAAGGAATTCGATAAGGCGGAATCTAAAGAAACGGTTTCCATAATAGGAATTGCTTGTTCTAAACAAAAGTCGTAGATTTGGTTGTGATAGCTTTGTGCTTTGAGGTGGTTAAAAGAATTGCTGCCGACACGACAGTTTACTATCGTATCTTACCACACACCATACAGATCTGGTACCTACGGTAAAATATCTTCTGACGCAAAATGTGGTCCGAGTACTATGACTAATTTTTTTCTGGTTAGGAGTTGGGTGATGGGAGGTGGCGGCAATTGAAACATAAAGGATGATCAAAAAGTTTTCAGATTAGAGTTGGCCATGGAAATATTTGTCATGTCTTTGATTAAACTGTAAAAGTCATACATAACCTTAGAAAAAACTTTTTGATTACCCGTTATACAGGGTGCCGCATCCAAGTCTGGATATAGGGAATTAACATGGGAATTGGTTTTTATTTTATAACGTCTCCCCAGATCACTTTATAGTAATTATATACCAAGGGAGAGAAAACAATTTTTTTCTACTCATTAAGGTTGAAGTTTGTCATTTTCCCATCGCTGGCAGTGGATGAAATTTCATTTCACCCTCTAGTGGAAAAATACTCGGCCGTCTACGATTTTAACGGGTCGTCCAGCCTGAGCGTTTCGCAGCTAGCGAAACGTGTCGCGTATCGCCTGCACCGACCGCACCGTCCGCTTCGCGCGCTTCGAAAATCATGACGCCTAGGCTGGACGACCCGTTAGTGTTTGACGTTTAATACTGCTAGTTTACACAAGTGAAAACAATGAACATGAGTGAGACTGACGAAGTTTCTGAAGAAATTTTGAATGCTGCCAATGCGGCATTTTCGAATCTGATACAAGTGCAGTTATTGATACAGGAAGCAGCCAACTAAGTTTAAACAAAGATACAAGTTCAAATAATACTTACGATAAAAGTGTAAATATTATTGGTGATAATTGCACAAATTGTTCTATTACAGTTAATGTATTTCAAAAATAAAATACCTACCATAAACAAACATTTATTTCCTAATTTCTTAGAAAAAATAGTATATGCAACTCGCGGATGAAGAAATTTCAACGGCTCGAGTTTCTTTTTCGCACTCGCTCGTTGCACTCGCTCGTGTGAAAAAATCACTCTCGCCGTTGAAATTCAACTTCATCCACTAGTTCCATAATGTACTATTATAGCCGAGCTGAATTATACCCGAGACGCGTAGCGTCGAGGGTAATAATGAAAGCGAGGCTATAAAATGGTTCTCCCCGTGGTTTATATATTATTTTTTTCACTACTAGCACATTTGTTTAACTTTTCTTTAATGACAATGTATAAAAGTCGGAACGAATTTAAGATATCCATGAAAATCAAATAGCCTGTGAAAACAAATGAATAAAAATGACATTAAACCAAAAATCTTAATAAAGAGCAAAATGTCGACTAGCGACGAAGATACTAGTGTGTGCACCCCGCCAGAAATCCGAAAAGAAGCAAGTAACGTGCAGTGTGATCAATTACTGCCACAAAAATCAAAAGAGTTCTACTTAAAAGTTTACGCACAATTCAAAGATTGGTGCAAAATTAAAAAAGTGGCCAAAGTGTCAGAAAATGTCCTTCTTGTTTATATGGAAGAAAAAGCTAAAAACAAAAAAGCTTCCAGTCTATGGGCCACATTTTCTATGTTAAAACAAACTCTTAAATTAAAAGAAAATGTGGATATTTCAAAATATTATAAAGTAATTGCTTTTCTCAAACGCAAAAATGATTCCTACACACCCAAAAAGGCGGCTGTTTTTGAGAAGCATCAAATCACAAAATTTATTTTAGAAGCACCTGATGAAATTTTTCTTTCGTCTAAGGTAATTCTGTTAATTGACAATGAGATTTTAAAAAACGCCAAATTACATTTGCTTCCAGGTTATTCTCATTATAGGAATTGCAGGAGCTTGTCGGACAGATGAGCTCTGCAACATGAAAATGACAGATGTAGATACACGAGAGGGTATGATAGTCATAAATATCCCTCAAACAAAAACAAGATCTTCTCGAAAATTTGTCATTATGGAGCCCACCTGGATTGATGTGGTTAAAAAATACTTGACAAAAAGGCCGTCTCCTGATATGGCAAGGCTTTTCATTGGGTTTAGAGGTGGAAAACCGACTAGACAAAACATGGGACATAATACGATAAGCAAGACACCTTATAAAATAGCTCAATACCTACAACTGCCAAATGTCGACAAATTTACTGGCCATACATTGAGGCGAACATCAGCGACTATTTTGGCTGATATGGGTGGGGACATATTATCACTCAAACGCCATGGGGGCTGGAAAAGCTCAATGGTTGCTGAAGGGTATGTTGAGGAGTCTCTCACTGACAAAAGAAGAATTGCAAATATAATTCAGGGAACACCTCATCACATTAACCTACCTGCTCCTAGCTCTTCCAATATTTTATGTGAGAGGAGTGAAGAAGTGTGTAGTGAAATGCCATCTACTTCCACACATGCTGCTACAAACAGTGAAATAACTATACCGGTGGAGAACTTTACCTCCAATCGCAATACATCGGGAATCAATATGACGTGCCACAACTGCACAATTAACTATTATTTCAAATAATTATAGTTGAGGTGTTAATCTTTAGTTACTTTGTTGTTAATACTTCTTATTCTCAATTTTTTAATAAACATTTGTCTTTCGAATAACACAATATTATTTCTACATTAACATTTTCATTATTTATTATAAAAATACTACTTCTTAACAGATTACACAAATTAGAGGTTAAAAATGTCGCGTGCTCGTAAGAATAACTGCAATAGATTTTTCATGATTGCTCTGGTGGCATTCTTGCTGGAGTGTGGTCCAGGCGGCAAATTTAAGATTTCGCAAGAAATTTCAGCTTCCCAGTTCTACATCATCTATCATTAATAAACAATGTATAAAATGTGGCAGCTTAATGTCAAGTAAACACCTCAACTACGACATTCTAAGGTAACCATGGCAATACTGTCAATTATTTTCATTATCTACTAGTAGGAGAGAAAAATCCATTATTGGGTAAGGTGGAGAACAGTAATTTCTCAAGCATCAAACACGATATATAATGAAGTCTTCTGAGGCTAGTAGTGAAAAAAAGCTATTATTGAGTGATGCCTTTGTGGAGGTCGAAGAGGGCTATCGACCAGTATTTTTTTCAAATCGTTGCATCGCGCTCATTCACTGTAAAAAGGTTTTAAAAATCGTATTTTGAAATTCGCGCCCGATCCGATTTGTCGCGAAATGTTCCGTCGCACTGTCGAAGTTCGGCGATCGCGTTTTTTCATTACCCATGCAAAATTCAAATGTCAAAGTGAAATTAGAAATTATTCTCATCAGAAATCAACGAACAAGTCAAACTGAATTATTTTATCCAGTGTGATGATTATTGTAGGACAAATTAAACGGAATAAATGCACAAATTGATCCAGTCATTCGTCATAGTGCGCGACCCCGTCAAACGATCCATTTCGAACTACACTCAGAGACTCAGACCGTATCCAAAAAGCCCAAGATGAAGACTTCGAGCAGCTGGTCTTCCTCAAAACCCCATCAAAGCCCATCGGCAGCATTGTGACATTTTCTGGGAGCCCTCAAGCTAGGAATGTACTCCGGCTGCCTCACTCAGTAATCACTGAACGACTCAAATTGAATTATTTTATCCAATATGACGATTATTGTAGGTCAATTTAAACGGAATAAATGCACCAACTGCACAAAAGATTATATTAAGTTATGCCATGTTCTACTGCGATTAGATGAAAAAGCGGGGGCCTGCGTGTTCTTCAACGGTTAATTTAATTAGTAGGTAATTTGGATAAATTTCACCTTTTTTTTTGGAATCACTAAAGATTGGAAGTCAATTGATTTTACATTCGTTAAGCAGGGATGGATTTTTTGCCTCCAGGAAGCATCTTCATTACAGGAAATTTTTGAGAGAGAAATGTAGAACATTGACTCATCAACATTTTAAAGTATTTTTCTCTATTACAAATGTGTTTTGGGATTCAGAAACTTTTGTGTTATTAATTTATTAACTTTGGATAAGAAATGAATTTATTTGGATAACAAAAAGCGCCTTTTGTTATTTAATAAACACTATCAGACCGAACATTTTGTCTGCTCGACGGTCGAAATGAAAAAAAGGACGTCGCACAATACGGCGTTTGACACAAGCCCTTCTTTTCCCCTTCTCTTCTTGCCAGTTCTGACAGTACCAACTTAACTTATAGCTCTTACATTCTACCCTAACATGGCCTAGTCTGATTTCACCATTGAAGGTCGCTTTACAAAATAATTAATACTCAACACTCCTCCTTAATTATTTTAGAGCGTAAATCTTCAAAAGTTTTGCGAGATAACGCTTTGGTAAGTATATCTGCCAGCTGATCAGAACTTCTAACATGTTTCAGTCTAACTGTCTTGTCTACGTGCTCTTTGATGAATTTTCTAGGAATTTCAATGTGTTTCTTGCCTTTAGTTATTTTTCCATCATACGAGTTCTTCAGCATGTGAATAGCGGATTGATTGTCGACACATAGCGTTGTTGGTTTGTCTGATGTAAAAATTTCCAGTTCTTTTCCAATCCTGCGAATCCAGCAGACGTCATCAATTGCTGAGACAGCGGCTCGATATTCAGCTTCTGCCGTAGATGTTGCGACCAGTCGTTGTTTCTGCGCGTACCAGACAATTGGTCCGCCTCTCATCACAAGGACTCCGCTAGTCGAGTGTCCGGTGAGTGCATCGCCACCATAATCAGAATCGGTGTAGGCGATGAGCTCGGTATCTCCATTGAACCAGATTCCATAATTTACGGTTCCTTTCAAATACGCAAACACTCGTTTCACCATCTTCCAACTGCTTTCCATTGGATTGTTGTTGAATCTGCTGAGATAATTCACAACAAAGCTAATATCAGGACGTGATATTGTTGCGAGATACAGGAGGCTTCCGATCACTTCACGATATGGTTTGTCTTTCGACAGTGGTTTATCATTTTCGTAATTCTTCTCATCAGTCAACATTCCTCGTTCCATTGGCGTATAGGCTGAATTTACAGTGTCGAATTTAAAACGTTCCAGTATACTCTCGGTGTACTTCGGTTGACTTACAAAGATTCCATTTCGATTCGCTTTGATCTCCATTCCCAGATATGATATTTTGTCTTTCAAGCTGTCATCAAATGTGATTTCAAACTTCTTGCTCATCTTACTCAACACTTTCAACATTTCTTGTACATCTTTTCCGACAACAAGTCCATCATCTACAAATAAAGCAATGATGATACTCTTGTTTTGATTATAGTATATGCAGGGATCATCGTCCGTACTTTCGAAGTTTAAAGTTTGCAAAAACGTCGAAAATTTATCATTCCAGTTTTTCGGAGCTTGCTTCAGACCATACAGACTTTTATTCAGTTTGCAAACTCGTCCTGTCTTATCGTTGAATCCTTCGGGTTGATACATGTAGATTTCTTCTCTCAAATCACCATGCAAAAATGCTGTCTTAACATCAAATGTTATAAGTTTCATACGATTTGAGGCTGCGAGACTCAAGATTAGTCGAATTGACACATGTCGTGCAACTGGACTAAACGTTTCGGAATAGTCAATTCCCTTTTCCTGTTCAAAACCTCTCACTACCAGTCTAGCTTTCAGTCGTCCATCTTGCTTTTCACGTAACACCCAGCGACAGGTCAAGGGTGTGATGTGACTTGGCATTTTCACTAAATCCCATGTTTTCATTTGCATAAGCGATTCAAATTCTTCCGTTATGGCCTGCACCCACTTTTCGTCCTTCAACGCTTCTGTGATAGGAATGTCTTGAACTTCCCCAATCATGGCAGTATCCATATTCCTTTCGTCATTCTCTGTAATGTAATCATCTAGTCTGGCTGGCCTTTTCAAGTTCCTTCGATTACGCAGATTTGAGCGTGTACTTTCTTGTTGAATAAGCACACCAGATGAATCAGAATCATCTGATATATCTACATACTCTGACGATTGACTTGCGGTTTCGGAGGATGAAGTATCATGATTTCTTTCCAAGTCTTTTTCTTCATTTTCATCAGTCATTTGAAATTCGATGGAACTCCTTTAATTTTCAGGGTTCTCATCAAATACAACATTTTCAGAGCTGACTATATCGTCCTCCTCCTTCAAATAAATTCTGTAACTTGGTGAGTCCAAATCATACCCCACAAGAATTCCTTTCCGAGATTTCTTCTCAGTTTTACCTCGTTTGTGATCTTGAATGTATACATAACATTCGCAACCAAAACATTTCAGACTCTGTAATTTTACTTGTCGTCCAAACCATAAGTCAGCAGGACTCATTCCTTTCACTGAGCTAGTTCCGGTTTGATTAATCGTAAATACCGAATAGTTTATTGCTTCAGCCCATAGATTTTCGTCAAGATCTTTGGCATGAATGACTGACCTTGCAGCTTCAACTACTGTGCGCATTTCTCTTTCAATCCGTCCATTCTGTTGGGGTGTATACGCATTCGACTTGCTGTGAAAAACTCCAAGTTCTTCCAGAAGATTTTTCACATTTGAGTTGATGACTTCTTTTCCATTGTCCGACCTGAGGCATTTGACTTTCCTTCCAAATTGATTTTCAACCATTTTCATAAAAATATCCAACTTACTCGCTGCTTCATCTTTGTGTTTTAAAAAGTAAACTGTTCTAAAGTGCGAAAAGTCATCTTTCAATAACAGAAAGTACTTGGCTCCTCCCAAGGATGGAATATTCATCTCACAGAGATCTACATGAATTAGTTCTAGTGTACTCGTCGATACCTTCTCGTTCCTCGGATGTGAGACGCGATGTTGTTTTCCATAGACACAGCCAGGACAGACGTAATCATTCCAGTCATCGATATACTTAACACCGCTCTTCTTCAATATGTCACGAACATACTTGATATTTTGGTGGGCCAATTTTTCATGCCATGCTTTGATTGAAGTTGTCATCAGACATTTGTTGACTTTTTCATTTCGAAATAGCATTGTGTATAGTTTGTCCTCGCGTTCAGCTATTGCTACTGTCTCATTTCCGTCTGCTAATTTGTAAACAGATTGTTCGGCATTTGCGCATTGTATAAAACCTTTATCTAACATTTGAGCAACTGAAAATAAATTGAAACTTAAGTTCGGAACAAACAGTACGTCAGTCAGCACCACTGGATACCATTCAGTTCCATTGAATGCTTCCATTTCTACATCTCCGGCACCTATACCTTCAATTTGCGTGGAATTTCCGATAAGTATCTTTGTTGGTTCTTCAAATTCAGTGAAATTGATTAGCCAGTCCTTTCGAAAGGTCATATGTTGCGTGGCTCCACAGTCTTGGTACCACGAATTGTAGCTTTCATTTTTAGCATTTCTATTGTTGATTTCTGCAGTCGTCAGACCAATAGTAATAAATGCCCGTCGTTTTGACTTATCAGAATTATTTTTGTCCGACTTATCGTTTGAGTTTTTATCATTCGGTCTTTTTGAACATTCTTTTGCAAAATGTCCCTTCTCATGACATATGTTACACGAATAATTATTTTTGCAATATTCGATGTATTTGGCACAGGGTTTGTTCTTACAATCTTTCTTGAAGTGTCCAGGTTGTCCACATTTAAAACACAGATTCGACGAATTTTCCTGCTGTTTTGGCTTACCATTTTTATTCCCTGACTGTTTGGTGAAAAAGGCATTGTGGCCTTTCGATTTATCTGTTTCATGTAGCCTGTCTTCTTCTAGTCTCAGACGGTCAATTAAGGTAGTTAAATTCTTGTCACATGAACTGACATTGTCCCACGCAGTGCGAAAATGACACAGTTTTGGTGGCAACATTCCCAAGATTCTTGTCTGAACCCAATTTTCTTTAACCTCTTCACCTTCAGCACTCAATTCTTCAGCCAACTGCATTATTGCTAAACAGTTCTCGACAGCTGACTTACCATTGTCATACTTGTAACTGAAAAATCGTCTTTGCAGACCTTCTATAGTTAAATCAGACTTCTTGCCGTACAACATTTCTAATTTTTCTAACATTTTGTACGCTGATTTGCAATTAACAATTTTCTTGGAGATTTCACTACTTACATTTAAACCAACTAAAACTTGACATTCAAGATCTTTTTTAGTCCAAAGTTTGACTGCGGCATCAGTGTCGGCGCCTGAAGGCTTGGTATCAGCTCCGATTGCTACCGCATACAAGTCTTTGGATTTCAGAGTTAAATCTAACTTGAATCTCCAGGAAATGTAATTAACTTTACCTTGCGCATTTTCTGACAGAGTTTCCAACTGTGTTCTGACCGTATCCATTTTTTTTTTTTTTTAATTTACCAGTACTAAACTAACTTGTACAATATTTAAAGTTGATAAACAAAAGTTAACCTCACCGACGAAGTATAATCTGACATACACAAGGATTAAATTCACTTGCAAAATATTTAGCTGACTTGCGACGACACACATGTACAAAATTATTGTGAAATAACTGACAGAGATTATGTTTCACAAACTAACAGACCAACAGACATAAAAACATAAATTCTCCTGCATTACATCAGACTTGGTAATATTTATCAGACAAAGAATTTGTTACACTGACGAACAGACATAAGAATAAAAACAAATTTCTTACTAATTACATACGAAATTTGTTGTAAACTGACGCTACTGTTGTAGTTTTCCACAGACGAATGCTGATTGCTCATTGGCTGGGATGCTGGCGTGCAGTGATCCGCGATGCGCTAACCTCACTTTCTTATATCATTAGGGGAATTGTGCTTAATACGGCATACTAGATAAAATGGCATATCATGTGTATTGTGGAAACTAAAAAGAAAATTTAAACTTGGCGCCAATAACTATAACGAATTTTTGTTTGCGTGAAGATGTATCCAACAGTCATGGCTGTGATCGGTGTTGGAAGCAGGTGACATGTGATTCTTTTCTCGAAGGTAAATATAAATTTTTCTTGAAACGGATCTAATTTGCTATAACTTTCGTTAAACGGATTTTTACTTTATCAAATTTAAACGTAGAGCAGTTAAAAATGTGTATTTTTTAACCCATATTCAGTTTTGTAAATAAACGTAACCTAAAAAAATATCAGCTTTAACTTTCCATAACCTACGGTAGGGGCAATATGGCACACAGGGAATCAGGGTAAAATGACATATTATACCGTATTCCCCGAATATGTTCCCGACAATAACTAAATTCTTACTAAAATAACAATAATGTGACTTTTATGTTGCAGTATGGGAAATAATTATATTCGTAAAACAAACCGACAGAAATGGTCTGAGGCCGACATGCTTCAAGCTATAGATGCGGTGCGAGCTAAACGCATGGGATGGCTTAAAGCCACTAAAATGTACAATGTCCCATTTGGGACTTTAAGACGCCGGGTAAATAATATGAATAAACGTGTTAAAGGTACCCAAAAAGGAATGGGAACGAGCACGACAATACCACTTGAAGCTGAGCAAGAAATTGTTAATCATATTCTTGATTTAGAATCAAGATTATTTGGTGTTACAGCTCTTGAATTAAGACAGCTGGCCTTTAAAATTGCAACTGAGAGAGGCTATTCTCATAAATTTAATACAGAAAAACAATTGGCGGGGTGGGACTGGTTAAGCGGGTTTCGCCGAAGACATCCGGAAATATCACTTAGAGCTCCAGAAGCGACGTCAGCAGCAAGAGCCAAAGGTTTTAATAAAGTCCAGGTGAAGAAATTTTTTGACTTACTCACTGACACCATGACTAATGAAAATATTCCTACTAGTAGAATTTATAACATGGATGAGTCTGCCTTGACAACAGTACATAAGCCTCCAAGGGTATTTGCCCGCAAAGGAAAAAAACAAGTAGGCGCTCTTACTAGTGGCGAAAGAGGCCAACATGTAACAGTAGTGGCTTGTATGAGTTCTGGTGGTCGTTTTATTCCTCCAGCATTAATATTTCCAAGGAAAAACTATAAAGCTGAGTATTTTGATGGATGCCCACCTGAAACGTTAGGATTGTGTTATGAAACTGGATATATGGTCTCAGACCTTTTCAGTAAATGGATGGATCATTTCATTAACCACGTGAAACCATCAAAAGAAGAAAAAGTTCTACTAATCGTGGATGGACACAGCAGCCACAAATCGTTAAATGCTCTTGAAAAAGCCAAGAAACACGGCATTGTTTTGTTATGTTTACCAGCTCATTGTACACATCGGCTCCAACCGCTAGATGTCTCATTTTTTGGCCCTTTGGAAACTTATTTCAATGCAGCATGTGCCCTTTGGATGAAAAATCATGTGGGAAGAACAATAACTTTATACCAGATAAGTGGATTATTTTGTGCTGCTTATTCAAAATCTGCTACTGTTGAAAATGCTTTAAGTGGTTTTCGAAGTTCGGGCATATCACCATTAAATCCAGACATTTTCCCCGACCATTTGTACGCACCAAGTGAAGTTACTGACAATCAAAATTGGTATGATGAAAACACCAACAAAGCTAACTTTACTGTGGAGGAAAATGTTGACAATAGTAATAATAATGAGAAAGTAAACAGTGAAAGGGCAGAAATTATAGAAAATGTCGTACTTGATAAACAAGAAACAGCTAGTAAAAAAAAAGAAATAGTTGAAATTAACCAGAAAACTGATAAAAGTGATAATATAAACCAAGCTAGTTCCTCATCACTCGAAAATAATTATCAAATTCACATTGGAAAAGATAGGAGTAGTGAGGGCAAGTCTAATCTCGATATTTCCATAAAAGAGTGTCTAAATTTACTGTCTCCTATACCTGTAATTGAGAAGACGGTTTCTGGAAAAAAAAGCAAAAAACGGCAATCACAGGGAACTGCAGTTTTAACAAAAAGCCCTTATATTGCGGAACTGAAAGATAAAGAAGCGAATAAAATGAAAAAAACGTTGAGAGCGTCAGCTAGAATAATCAAACATAAACTGTTCCAACCTACGTGTGATACAAGTAGTGAAGAAAATGATCATTGGGAAGATTTCGAAGACGATGAAGATGATGCGTGTTGTCTTTATTGCAATGATAGTTACAAGAGATCTAGAGCCGGTGAGAAGTGGATAAGGTGCATTAGCTGCAAAAAATGGTCCCATGTCGAATGCTCAGGAGTTAGTCCCAAAACGAAGCAGTTTATCTGCGAAATTTGCGAAGAATGAATAAGTTCGTCGGTAGAACCTATTTTTTGTTATTTTTTTATATTTTGTGATAACCCAAGCTTCCCGCCTCAAAATTTGACCTTGAAACAGTTTGAAAGGCCCGCGAAAAATTCAAAAATTCAAAGTTTGGCCTTGGCTGTGATCGTCTAACAAATGAGAACCTACGTTGTGTGTTTTTTTTTTTGTTTTTGAAAAATGGCGGGAAGACGTTCTTTCATACAAGTGCATACACTGTCGAGAGCGCAAGAAATAATAGACAAAATTAGGAGCCTTCCTAAGGAGGAAAAAGAAACGAAGAACGACAGACGCTCGATTTGCCCTTCTGGCGAGTCCGCAGGGCCAAGGTGTCATCGGTCTTCATTCCCCAAAACCCCCTGGGGTTTTATTCACCGACATATTACATGTCAGACACCTTAAGATATGTGAAAGAAAAACACTCGCGAATTGACAGACATACACATATGAAAACCGAACAAACACAAGACCTACACATATGTAAATTGGATGGCAGAACCCGAATCATTATGAGAGTGTGGCGATCGAACAAAACATAGAACAAAATATATATCAATTTCATTTACGAGCACAGCAAAATACCCAGAGGGGGCGTTGTAGCGCAAGTAGAGGTTGGGACTCCTGATCGTCACTGTTCTCCCCCACGACGGTGATTCTATCTACACCAACGCCTGCTCACACGCATCTCTCCATTACGAACGTGCCCTGCGAAACGAGGCGGTTACGATCGCAGATCCGTAGTGGGGTCCCGGCTATCACGAAACCGGCAGCGTTAAAAACCCGCGATCGCCCCCTGAAGCTATACAAAACCCGCGGACTTGTGCAGGTGACGCGATTAATCCCGTCAGTTTGAGAAGGAGTCGCGCGCCCCACGTACACTACGAGTTATGTGTTATTTACCTTCAATTTCATTTAAATGTTCAATTTCTATGACTCTAATATTAAATGACAACCGAACAAGTGTTAAAGTTTCAACAAAGAGCAATACACAACATTTAAATTCGCCACACACTCTTACGAAAATTCAACAACAAATAATTCTTAATTGAGATTAAATTTGGACATCAGATAATTTACATGATAGAAACATTTATCAACACAACATTTACAAGATCAAAACTTAGCAAAGATTTATAAAAACAAAGATCTGGTGTGAAATAAGCTTGTACAAATTAAATATCATGTTAGGTCAGAACTGCAGAGCATGGAAATTTACGTTCAATTCAAATTATACAGCAAAGAAAATTACTGAAGCTAAAATTATGAGACAAAGACAAATTGCATGAGGTGAAAGATTGTAAAGTTAACAGATTTACATGTGATTAATACTAATTCGTGTCCAGTCAAGTTATTGGTTAAAATTCAAACGTGAAATTATTTAGCTGCATTGTGGGCCATTATTACACATACATTTCCCCAAACAAAACACATAAACAAACATGGCAGACAATCTGCAGTTGCAAAATGGCGTTGGACGAATTCGTCATTCCAAATAATAGGCGTCGAAAATATGCGATGCAAAAATACGATGAATCCTGTGGCGTTGTATAAACGATGTGCTAAATCCAAAGAATAAAGGCACGTCCCCCCATGACCCACAATGTTGTTATTTTGTTCAATAGATTCAGTTAAAACATGTGCTCGATCAAAAGGAACAAATGGACGCTTCAAAATGGCCGCTGCCTGAACAAAGAACGGTGAAATAACAACTCGTTTGCCGCCATCCAAAATACAGATTTCACAAATATAGCTAAATAAAGCATGGCCCGAACTAGAAATCACTTCCTGTAAAGCCCTACTGCGATGGATTTTAAATGAAAGATAAAAAAACGAGATTAGTGGAAAAACAAGCGCACGCGTCGCTACGTCACGAGGTCAGAAGTATCGTCGGGGCTTGAATCTCGCGGCGAAACAGGTGTTCAAAACATACCTCTCCAAAGATGCGAAGATTTCGACACGGCTTACCGCCAAAAGGAACGCAAAAACCTCGTCGTAAGAACGATGAGAAATCAGGAACACCCAATGGCTCAACGGTGGCTGCTAGGTTTTCCAATGGGACTGGATCAACACTGGAAAAACAAAACACAACAGCAAAAGGCACAGAATAATTCACAATTAAAAATACAACCTGTTGCTCGAAGCGCTCGGAAAGAAGTCGACCGTTCGTTCCAAGCGGTCAAAGCGAAGTGGCCGATTTTACCCGAGACAAAACTACCCTAACATTTGCGCATGCCTCTCTTTCTTGGTGTGGTTGATTACCAACCTTCTTTTCTTCTTCTCACCAACTGTTTCTTGCGCGCGGGGAATTCATTTGAAATTTAAAAATTCGAATTGGATCCTTACAATTTTGTATATTATTTACATTTTTAGTTCATATTTTTGTTGTGTTGTTCTCTAATTATTGAAGTAATATTTTGGTTTTAATATTTTTTTTGTTATAATTAATAAATATATACGAATTTCTTCGTAAAATTCCTATTCCTATTCCTATGCCATTTTACACCGTACATCAGGGTAATATAGATTCTGTCACTTCCAAAACTTTGAAGTGTTGCAAAAGTGTAGTGCTTGATTAAATATATGTTATAACTGAACTTCAAACTTAATTGATAAAGCTAACATGTGCCACAAATCAGAAAAAGATTATGTTTTTTTTTTATACGTGAAAATGATTTTTTTTTAAAAGTATGCCGTATTAGACATATCTCCCCTACAGCTGCCACGTGCTTCCTCAATCCGACATGCTTGCTTTCTTTTCCGACGGTTTATCCATTCATTTCTTATTACAGACCAAAGTTAAATCAGACACAGAGCAAGCTACTGTGCCCATAACCTGTTATTAATTTATTAACTTTGGATAAGAAATGAATTTATTTGGATAACAAAAAGCGCCTTTTGTTATTTAATAAACACTATCAGACCGAACATTTTGTCTGCTCGACGGTCGAAATGAAAAAAAGGACGTCGCACAATACGGCGTTTGACACAAGCCCTTCTTTTCCCCTTCTCTTCTTGCCAGTTCTGACAGTACCAACTTAACTTATAGCTCTTACATTCTACCCTAACATGGCCTAGTCTGATTTCACCATTGAAGGTCGCTTTACAAAATAATTAATACTCAACATTTTGTATTACTGTTTTATTTGTTTATTGTGTTAACAACAACAAAAATAAAAATAATATTTCGCAAAATAAAGTTACATTTATTTTCAAAGGTGATAAAAATTGCATAAAATCAGGTGGGCACGACGTTTTCTAGGGATCTTAAACAGATGAGATAGAAGAATTTCAAAAAGCATCATGACAAAAAATTGAAGCCTGAGGACTACTTCTCACATATAGAGTTTTACGAAGGAACGCTTGAGAGAATCTAGGCTGATGGAGAGTTTTTGAGGAAAATTTGTTTTACTGACGTTCATTTGGTCTTAAGGGAAGTTATAATCGTCAGAACGATCAAATTTGAGCATTACACAACGCTCACGTGGTCCATGACCTTCGTTATCAATGGCGTGCAATTGTGTATGACTGGGGCTTCTAGGACATCATGTCATTGCATTTTTTCATCGAATCCGGATTGAATGCTCAGAAGTAGGATAATATGCTAGCTCAGCAAATACTTCCTGGGACTCAAAGGGTGCGGCATCTGCAGCAGGTCTTTTACATCCAGGACCAAATCTCCAGCTATACAGCTCGCATAAATGTTGTTTATTTGAACCAGTATTTTTACGCAATGTTGGAATGGAAAGTTTGCACCGCCCCATTGGCCTGTGCAATCGCCGGATCTAAACCCCTGACAATTTTTTCTTTGGAGATTTCTTCACGACCATCTGCATTCAGACAAGCTATACAAACAGAGAAGCGCTGAAACAAGCAATCCAGCAATATTGTCTTCAGATTTCAACTAAAATGTTGATCAACACGCGTAGGAGTTTTGAAGATTGGCTTACTTACTGTACAGCTGCTGAGATCAGTCTTTTTGAGGAATTCTTGAAAATAGTGCAATACTTCTCCAGATTCGTACAATATTTCATTACTTCATTCATCAACATTTGTTAAGTTTTGTTATTTGTAGTTATCTAAATGGTTCATTAAAAGGTCCTCTTCAAAAGCGCCAGCTGTTTTGATGGTAAATCTTATCATCACACAATAAGAAAAGCGGACCCTCGCTTGTTCATCTAATCGCAGTAGAACATGGCATTTTAATGAGATTTTAGTAATAAAGACTCGATCAGCACCACCAACATAACCTAATAAAATATTTTGTGCAGTTTGTGCATTTATTCCGTTTAAATTGACCTACAATAATCGTCATATTGGATAAAATAATTCAATTTGAGTCATTCAGTGATTACTGAGTGAGGCAGCTGGAGTACATTCCTAGCTTGAGGGCTCCCAGAAAATGTCAGAATGCTGCCGATGGGCTTTGATGGGGTTTTGAGGAAGACCAGCTGCTCGAAGTCTTCATCTTGGGCTTTTTGGATACGGTCTGATTGTAGTTCGAGATGGCTTGTTTGACGGGGTCGCGCACTATGACGAATGAATGGATCAATTTGTGCATTTATTCCGTTTAATTTGTCCTATAATAATCATCACACTGGATAAAATAATTCAGTTTGACTTGTTCGTTGATTTCTGATGAGAATAATTTCTAAAATCATTTTGACATTTGAATTTTGCATGGGTAATGAAAAGACGCGATCGCCGAACTTCGACAGTACGACGGAACACTTCGCGACAAATCGGATCGGGCGCGAATTTCAAAATACGATTTTTAAAACCTTTTTATAGTGAATGAGCGCGATGCAACGATTTGAAAAAAATACTGGCCGATAGCCCTCTTCGACCTCCACAAAGGCATCACTCAATAATAGCTTTAAAGTGATCTGGGGAGATATTATAAAATAAAAACCAATTCCCATGTTAATTCCCTATATCCAGACTTGGATGCGGCACCCTGTATAATATATTTCATGGTGTCAGTAATTCGCGAAATACCTTTTTTGCTTTGAATAAATTCCCAAAAACGTTTAGGGTCCTCTTGGAGACGATTTTCAATTTCTAACACGTAATCATTATAACACTTAGATACAACTTGTTTGCTGAGAAAACGATAGAACTTAAATTCATCCAGGCGTTCAGCTGTTTTGTGCTTCCTGCAGGGTTTAAAAGCCAGTCCCTTACGTTGCAACACAGAAATAATTTCACCATTAAACCAAGGTGGGTAACTCCGCTGTTTTGGTTTGACATGCAACTTGGGAACAGTTACCTGAAAAGTATTATGTAGCATTTGATAGAATGCATAATCAAGTTTGGAAGCTTTATATAAGGAGGACCAATCAGTATCTAAAAACAATTAATATATACTTTGAATATCAGCTTTCTTAAAATTAGATGAGTCAGACTGGTCATACATACTTATAAGTTACAAATAATTTTTTTCACTAGCAGCCATCAAGCATGCAAATGTCGACTCATTTAGAGGTAGCAAATTCAACTTTTCAGACCACCGGTTCAAAAAGAAAAATTGAGGTTATGTACGCAATGTTTGATGTGATTATTTCTTAAAAAATGAACAAATGTGTGCTACAAACATTACTTGAGTATACGCATGGTAGTTGGTAGACGATAGAAGATAAAATAATTAACTCAGCGACAAGTGTAAACGGTTTTCTTTGTGTTGAAGATTTAGATTAAGTTTGATTAGAAATCAAAACAAAATCATGTTGCGTCAAAAAATTGAACGTTTATTTTTTCAGTTTATTGTCTTATGGTTTCTACTAGTGAAAAAAATAGTATATTAGCCACGGTTGTAAAGCCACTTCTAGACCTCGCGCTTCAGAGCCCTCGACGCTGCGCGTCTCGGGTTCTAATTTGCGCTCGGTCTAGAATGCTTGGCTCTGCAACCTTGGCTAATAATATACTATTTTTCACTAGCACCCTGGACGCATGCAAATGTCGACTCATTTAGTGGTAGCAAATTCAACTTTTGCTACCACCGGTTCAAAAAGAAAAATTGAGGTTATGTACGCAATGTTTGATGTGATTATTTCTTAAAAAATGAACAAATGTGTGCTACAAACATTACTTGAGTATACGCATGGTAGTTGGTAGATGGTACAAGATAAAATGATTAACTCAGCGACAAATATAAACGGTTTTCTTTGTGTTGAAGATTTAGATTAAGTTTGATTAGAAATTAAAACAAAATCATGTTGTGTCAAAAAATTGAACGTTTATTTTTCAGTTTATTGTCTTATGGTTTCTACTAGTGAAAAAAATAGTATATTAACCACGGTTGCAAAGCCACTTCTAGACCTCGCACTTAGAGCCCTCGACGCTGCGCATCTCGGGTTCTAATTTGCGCTCGGTCTAGAATGCTTGGCTCTGCAACCTTGGCTAATAATATACTATTATTATGTGATGAAAATGCAATAATTCAAACATCAGTTTATTAATATCGTCACTCTGTCTCGAAAAATTTCACACAATAATGTTTAGATACAAAAATAATATACATGTACGTATAAAACTGAAAATCTAGGTTGATCATCGCTATATCAGAATAGCAAGATTAACGAGTACTCGACTTTTGCCTGCTCTGATCCGCACGACGCAATACATTTTACATACAACATTCAATCCCAAGCCACGAAATAGTTAAAAAAAAATAGGTCTGAAGTTATTTAGACAGAACTTCCCTCATCCCTCAACCGAGCAAATAAAGCTTCTTGGAAAAATTATAAAATCGAATTTTGCGAATTTTATTTTTGCATGATAACTTCTATAAGTTAAAATAAGGATATCTATGAACTGTTAAAGTACAGGTAAAGAAACATGTTAAGAATATGTTTCAAGTGAGTTTTTCCTTAACAAAATATTGTAATGACGTCCTTTGCGTTATAACAAGGACACATATCAATTTTATTAGGTGTATGTAATACTAATAATAACAGTATACTCAAAGTTTCGAAAAAATGCGGTGAACCTTTCTTGATTGGATTAACGTTTGCAAGATTTCAGAGCAATCAGTTTTGCAGTTTCAAAAGTAAATGGCAAATACAATTTTGATTTTTTTCCAAAAATCTATTTGTTCAGGGTAAAAAGTCACCTCGAATTCATAAATCGCAAGTGCAGGGGTATCTTATTCCATAAAATTTGAGTACCATTTATTATTATAAATTTTGCAGATAACGTCATCCCATTATTGGTGGAGATGATAAAATAAATTCTTTAGCGTTTTACCATTTACACGTTATTCATAATCTGTATACATATAAAAGTTGAGGACAATCGGTCTAGTAGTTTCGGAGATTATATAGCCTAATAAAAATCGACGACAGACAAGCGGAAACGCGAGACCTACTTTTCTGTACTTCAGAGGTCAGAGACCTTATTACAATAGGTCCTTAGTTTAGCTTTGGGAAGTAAAATACTAAAAACTTCAGTAAAGATGTTCACTTTTTAAACAACGAATGCAACAGTAACTGACTGTATCTATATAGTTAATTAAAATAATATTGTTCTTAAAGTTGGCATGTTTGGTAATAGTGTAAGTAAATTACCAAGCATTTGCTTACAGTCATGGTCAATTTTTACGACGAATTTAATTTGTCAACTGTCTGCACTCGCAGGACCATGGTAGAAATAAAAATTGTCAATGACGAGTAAACTAACTAAGATTTTAAATATGTCTACTCTTCTCGACGAAACAACTTTACTACACTGTCAGAAATTCAAACAGGCTGATAATCGAGAGCAGCATTGGGAACGGTGTGGACTAACAGGCCAATTTCGAAAGGATTTATTCGGCAAAATTTTGAGATGACGTAATCAATTTTTTGGGGTTGGTAAACAGATACACTTTGATTAAAAAGTTAAGATTCTTACAATAACTTCAAAACGTCTGCAAGATTTCAAAGTATTCAGTTTTGCAATTCTTGATTTAACCAACGAAATAAATTGACTCAGTCATTATTGTTTTGTCGGCCGACGGACCTGATTACAATACTTCCTTTGCTTACGCTGGGGAAGTAAAAATGCTAAAGTTATCTTTTGTAATTTTACTTTGAAAAATTAATCAATTATTACTACTACTGGTACTTCACAGAGCAGCCTAATTGACCAAGTTAGGATTGTGGCTATTATTTTTAAGATTGTGTAGGTATTTAGATGTAAATTGCGAAAAAGTGCACAAATTTGTAACCATGGATAAAAAAAACATGTTGAAGGTTCTCCACATTAAATGAAATGAAGTCTAACAAAAGAAAACAAATGTTCCAGAGAAATTATTTCAAAGACACCAATCTATAGTTCACTCTACTGGATTAGCCACACGTGTTTCGGTGTAAAGGCAGATCAATTCATTTCATTGTAGTTCAGCTGCTTGATGAAGGTACTGTGTACAGTACAACACACGTAAAAGTGTTCTACAACGAAAATATGATTGTTAGAATCAAAATTGCGTTACACATTTATTTAGAAATTAGTGATGCAATTCCAAAAATAGACGCCTTATCAATTCAAATGCAGGCACATTGTTATAGGATTTCCACAATTCTGTAAAGGTATCATATTTTAATGACATGTTAAATATGTAGTATAGTTAGATTCAATAAAAGGCGAAGCGCATTCTCTAATTGTAACAGCTAGAGCAATCCTAATTTATGAACACATAAAATAAGCTGAATTTGTACGTACTCAAATCAAAAACATACTACTGGGCATGATTATACATATTATTAAATTATACCAAGCAGTATATTTTTGTTTCAACGTTAGTACAGTTTCCAGTAAATCCTGTTCGGATACCGTGCCAGTTTATATGAAGAGTCAAAATCATATTAAAAATTGGGAATTACCCGCTTAGAATACGAAAATTCCAAAAACCAGCAAAAGAAATAGCCAAATCTTGTCATAATCTTTTGAGAACAATATTTGCTCCATAACTTTTGTAACTGGGCAACTTCACGTTTAATATCATTATAATTCATTAAGTAAAGTGATCATTCATTAATTTTTGATTAAAACTTTTAATAAACTCGTTTAGTAATTTAAATTTGAATACAATTTTACGTAGAATTTGAGTTTATATTTCTTCCATGACATTCCTAAGGATATTGTTTCTTGGTACATTTAAATGATATAAGGTATTTCGGATAAGATAATGAAGTAATTGTACATAAAATTCACCAACATTGAATATAGTACAAAAACTTGAGCAGTCAGAACTCATAACTGATACGTGTCGATAAAAAAGTGTTATCTACTGTTTAAATTGTTTTTATGTATTAACAAATCAACAGTGTATATTTCGATATACAACGAACACAATGCCTATACGAGAATTATCCAAAGAGCTACAAGAAGTAGCAATTAAAGAATTAAATGAAGATCCACAACGAATTCAGAGTGACCTCGCGTACATTAAAGAATGGCTTTCTAAACAACCACACCTTAAAGCTAGAACAGGTAAATAATTTGAAATACGTGGCACTCAAACTTACTATCATAAATACTTTAGATGATCAATTTTTAATTGCGTTTCTACGAGGTACCAAATTTAGCTTAGAACGAACAAAAGAAAAGCTCGATATGCATTATACCTTAAAAACTATTACACCTGAAATATACCATAACCGTGATCCTTTTGCTCCAGAAGTGCAAAAAATTTTAAAACTTGGGTAACTTTCAAATTATTAGTTAAAAAGTAGTAGGTAATATCTTTTATGGTCTTAATTTAGAGTGATGCTCCCACTACCAAAATTAATTAGTCCTGATGGTCCACGACTTTCACTTGCTAGAAATGGACTTATGGAAAAACACAAAATCGAACAAGCTGATATTTTCAAAGTTAGTACAATGATGCAAGACATTTTGCTTCTTGAAGATGACAATCTGGCTGTTTCTGGGTTTATGATGGTTCAGGATATGTCTGACATGTCTTTAGGTTTTGTGAAGTCTTTGTCTATTTCCCTAACTAAAAAAGCAATGACCTGTTTTCAACACGGTTACCCAAACCGAATTAAAGGAGGACATAGCTTTAATATAACTGGAGTATTTGAAGTACTGTTTAATATGATTAAACCTTTTTTAACAGAAAAGTTGAAAAGAAGGGTAAGATTTTTTTGGGTAGACAATAAATAAGGACGTTTTTCTAATTTTTAGATGTGTGTTTATGACACGTTGGAGGAATTATATAAGGTAATTCCAAGGGAAGTACTACCAGAGGAATATGGTGGACAAGGTGGTAAAATTGAGGACATTGCAGCTTATTGGAAAGCTAAGATAGAAAGTTATCGAGATTGGTTTGTGGAAGATGAAAAATACGGAACAGACGAAAAGAAACGACCTGGAAAACCGAAAACGGCTGAATCTGTGTTTGGTTTAGAAGGATCTTTCAGGCAGTTGGCAGTGGATTAGCAGAGATCAAAAGTTTCTTATCTTATCATTGTACCTTGGTATAATAAAGATAAATATTTTAAACGACTTACTTTCTTAGGTTTATCTTATGAAATAGTTGTAATTTAATATTTTTTATGACTCCAAAGCATTTTCTGTAGGTGAATACGTAGGCACTACAAAGTTATAAAACTACTTTAATGTCCGAATGAAATCATGAACCACTATTAAAATTAAACTGCAATTTATGTGTCGGTAGAAAATTATGGGTAACTACAAAACATTTAGAAATACACTACCTGTACCAAAATTTCATTCTGTTGGTCATCTCTTACTCAGATTTGCTACAATATGTCATCAACAGTAGTAACATATCTAGAATATTTTAGCTAATGACTGATAGTGAATTTAAAAATGAGTATAGTAAACTAGATATTTAATATGGAAGTAAGTATATTGACTGTTATGACTTAATTTAAATTTTATTTATGGGTCAGCTTATAGTCAACTATAAATAACATCTTACCACAGGGTGGAAGGTAACATGGTTTCAGGTTTAATTTTAATAGGCAATTAGTGAAACCACGTTCCGTAGAACGTACAGCACCCAAAACGTAAAAAAAAACTGTTAAGTATATCTATGGAAACATTGAAAATGCAGTGTTCTTATTGGCGATTGTATACATACGTTAACGTAAAATACGTTGTACGGAACGTACTTTCGCTAATTGTCTAATATTTAGTTATAAATAAATTGATTTTTGGTTGTTTGTGTCAAGTTGCCATTCATGAAAGACATTTTGGATATGCATAACTAAATGATATTAACAAAAAGATGTATTGGATTTCCAGGACCGTAGATGTTCGAAGCTTATTTCTCAAATGAGTAAATGCCCTATATGTTATCATTACGAAGAAAGACAAACCGGAGATGTCATAACCGAGAATAGGTACATAAAAGTTGTAATATTTCAAGGTTTTATTTTTAAATTTTTATCACCTATTTTGTCGTATGCGTGACTATAACGCCACACTAAGAGTGCATATATTATAGGTATAGATATTAATTTAATGGCTAGGTTCCTCTCTGTTATTCATGCGTACGGCAAATTCACCATTTCTTCAAATCTCAATCCTGACATCAGTGTTACGATGCTCGGGCGAATAAAACTTGGCGTGGGTAAAACTCAACAATTTATTTCTTAATAACTTGAATTGCACTACTAACTATTACAGCGATTACGTACAAAATAACTTCGCAACTTAAATGCATTCGCCCACTCGATTCTTGACTGAATGAATCATTCCCGAAGGTGGGTGGCGTCTATTTAAATCCTTATTTCGGCGATCGAGCTCTTTCTCGAATTGGGTATTCGGGACTTCCGCTTCCAGGCTTTTCGAGCGCAGCTTTGAGTCTTTTTCTGGGCCCGTCGCGACATCCGCTTGCATCCGCGCGGCCGATGAGTCAGACTACACATGAGAAGAAACGCGTATATGCTAGAAGACCCATAGGCATCGTACCGGGACGCCGTATGGGTTTATTTCGTAACAAAATTTATGTATTTCTAGCAAATTTAGATAGATTTTGGTTGTTAACAGCTTACAGTTGTTAACAGTGGACAGCTTTTCCCCATACAAATCTCCAGGAGTTGACGGTATTTATCCCGCCCTCCTGCAGAGGGGAATGAGCAGACTATGCCCCATTTTGTTGCCAATGCTTCGGGCGTGTCTGGCTTTCAGCTACATACCGAATGCATGGCAAAAAGTAAAGGTTATCTTTATACCTAAGCCAGGACGACAAGATTACACCTTGGCTAAATCCTACAGACCAATTAGCTTAACATCATTCTTGCTGAAAACGCTAGAAAGACTAAGCGAAAAAGAGATTCGAGAGACTGCTTTGAGCAAGCAACCTCTACATCTGAACCAACATGCCTACATCCAAGGAAGATCCACCGATACGGCCCTACACACAGTTGTAAACCGTATAGAGTGGGCGATGGAGAACAAACTCTTCACCTTAGGAATGTTTTCCTTCAAAAGCATAGAGCTAGCCCTACGAGAGCACGACGTGGACCCCACCCTAAGTAGGTGGGTGGCCGGTATGCTGAGGAATAGGGAAGTAATGATTAATGTAGGTGGCACTGAGATCGAGGCTGTTGTAGACAGGGGATGTCCTCAGGAAGGAGTTCTCTCTCCTGTACTGTGGGATACTGTCGTTGACAGCCTGATACGACGCCTCAATGATCTTGGCTACCACACAATTGGATACGCAGACGATCTAGTCATTCTGCTAACAGGAAAAAACGCAGATACATTATGTGAGATAATGCAAGCTGCAGTAAAAATAGTCGAGGAATGGTGCAGCAGATATACCCTCTCCGTTAATGGAGAAAAGACGAAACTAATCCTGTTCACTAGGAAAAGGAAAATTGGCACACTACAGATGCCAAAATTATTTAACACAACGCTTCAACTTTCGGACGAAGTCAAATACCTGGGAGTTGTATTGGACTGGCGACTGAATTGAAAGAAGCATGTAGATGATAAAGTAGAAAAGGCACGCTCGGCTCTTTGGCAATGCCGTAGGGTGGTGGGAAGGTCGTGGGGTTTAAATCCCAAGATCGCCCTCTGGATCTACACGGCAATAGTCAGACCGATGCTGTGCTATGGAGCTTTAGTTTGGTGGCCCAGAGCCAGACAAAAAACAACAGCCCTGCAACTTGAACACGTTCAGAGAATGGCGTGTCTCAGTGTTACAGGAGCAATGAGGACCACTCCCACAGCGGCTCTGGAGACTCTTCTTTGCTTAGCACCTCTTAACCTTTACATAGAGGAAGCGGCAATGGCGACGTCTCTAAGACTTCACTCTCTGGGAGTATGGAACAAGCAAGGCCGCACAACGAAGCACACTCGGATCTTAACGGAGGCGTTCAACAGAATACCCTTGTTAAGGATGGGGTGTGACCGAATGGGCACAAAATTAATATATGAGAAGACATATAGAATATCAGTGAATGATAATTCAGAAGGACGAGCCGACATAGATATCTATGTCGATGGTGCCAAAACAGATAGTGGTTCAGGAGCCGGCATTTACTCCGAACAACTGAACGCACAAATCAGTGTACCTCTCGGCACCCACACGTCTGTCTTACAAACAGAACTGATGGGATTAATGCTGGGAGCTAGAATCATTGCTGAACGTGAAATCGGCAACAAATCAATACGCATACTTACTGACAGCAAGTCTGCACTACTAGCCCTGGACAGCTGTATGGTTCGATCCGGGCTGGTTTGGGAGTGCAGACAAACGCTAAAGTATGTAACGCAGAGAAATAGTGTGGAACTTTGTTGGATCAAAGGACACAGTGGCAACGAAGGAAACGAGAGGGTAGATGAGATGGCGAAGCGAGCCGCGTGCATGCCCTTCTGGGGACCCGAACCGGCAATCACGCCTTCGGTCGCCCTCTCGAACGAACTCGTAAAGCAATATACCCAGAGACGCCATGAGCAGATATGGGTGAAGTTAAGCAGCTGTCGGCATAGTAGAGCTTGTATGGCGACACCAGACCGTAAGTTGACGAAATTTTATCTCTCACTTTCAAGGGACAAACTGCGTAAACTGGTAGGATTCCTTACGGGACATTACCAGTTTAACAAACATCTACATACGATAGGGGTGGTAACAGACCCAATCTGTCGTGGATGCAATGAAGAGGAGGAAACAGCTGAGCACATTCTTCGTGAGTGTCCAGCCCTAGCCTCCTACAGGGAATCCATACTAGGAGACATCTGGCCTAGTATGGCAAATATCAGGGAGTTTCCACCCTCTGCATTACTCAAGTACATTCAAGCAGTTGGGTGGCTTGACGAGTAGAGGAGCGGGAAAACACCCTGATATGGACTTGGGGAAGATACAATGGGCCCAAAGGCGAGGCCTAAGTGCCGGCTGGCTACGGTCAGCCCCCATAAATTAAGAATCCAGAATCCAGGTTGTTAAATTTCCATTTATAGTTGAATAGGGGTCCAATAATGTGGCTTTCTAGTATTTCAGTTGACACGTTAAATATTTGTGGGAATTGAGTATCTACGCTTCTTTCCAACCCAGTGCCGATTTTGACCTTAGGCGAAAGCTTGGTACCAGTCCCTTTTTCGAACTATCTTTCCTCGTCTCATTCTGTAGTTTTCCAGATTCTCTAAGGTTTATATATGACTGCTATAAAATTAGGGTATTGTAAAGTCGACAAATGGAGCATTTAATAAGGTAAACTCACAATTGTAAATCTTTTCGACTGCACTTGTTCCCGTCCGTTATTCATTTCAGAGACGGATCCAAGAGACTCCGTTCCTTTAATTCCAAAATACTCAATTATTTGAACATGCAATAGTTACAGATTTACAAAAAAGTATAATATTATAGTAATATTGCTATACTTAAAAGGTGACGTTTCTCATACTTGAGGTGATGTATTTATCGAAACATGAACGGGCAACTTGTATTTATATACAAAAAGCAATACAGCTGAAGTGGATCTTGCCTAGTTGGCAAGATATTGGGACAAATCCTTGATTTATGACGGTAGGTTCGTGCGGATGATCAGTCACACAAAAGGAATTATTATTTCCCATTACTACATTTAGTGGGGCCATATAACCTTAGAGAATTTGGAAGGCTATACCTCCATGGATTAAAGTCTCTAGGATATGCAACCAACTTTTCCATCGGACATTTTATTTGTTAAAAAAACCGAGAAATTCACCGTTAATCTTTTTTACTTCCTCTTGTCTTGTTAAAGCTCGTTTAATGTCGTCTGTACTAACTCGGTAAATTAGCCTTTACACGCACCCTGCCTGTAAAGCGTTACCGTGGCAGCTTTACAGGCACCGTGCCTGTAAAACGTTGTCATGACAGACCGGAATCAAACACACATTCGCTGCGTCGGCCTTTTTCTTAATCTCATTAATACTGTGCTAATACTAACGTTAAAATCACCTTCAAACTCTTCATCTTCATCGAATTCCACAATTAACAAAGCTCAGAAACAAAATTAAACTATTTAAATTATTAATCGAATTTACAAATT